TATCTCAGCCAAGTAACCAAGGTCAATATTGACAATCCCAAGACATATTAACAGCAAAGACCCTTGATATGATAGGATGAGATGGACCTTTTACCTCTGTGGTCTTCATCTCCAAAACATATTACCCCAGCCTAATCATGATATAATATCAGATATATCCCAACTGATAGATATTTTACAAAATACCTGATTAGTACTCCTTGAAATTATGAAGGTCATCAAAGACAAGGAAAGTCTGAGAAACTGCCACAGTCAAGTAGAACTGAAGGAGATATGATGATCACAGGTAATGTGTTCTCCTGGATGGGCTCCTGGAGCAGAAAAAGGACATCAGATAAAACCAAGAAAATTCAAACAAGGTGTGCTGTTTAATTGATGACAGTGCATCAGTATTGGTACCTTGGTTGTGACAAAGGTACCATACTGACAAAAGAAGCTAATAACAGGGGTAACTAGGTGTGGGGTATACAAGAACTCCCTGTACTATCTTCACAATCCTTCTGTAAATCTAAAGCTCTTCTAAAAGAAAAAATTTTATTAAAAAAAAATGGATTTGAAACTTTGTGTAGAGAGATGTCATAGATGTGCCGGCATTTAAGTAAGGGATATTTTCCTAAATGCCTTTTCTCTGGGATGATTCTCTTCCCTGGAGAAAACCCCTCAGATTTCTGGCCTGGAGACTATGGGACTGGCTGCTGCTTCATGGGGGGGAGGGGATGGGGAGCCTGTGTGCTCAGGAGGCAAATGTTTCCTCACCTGTCCCTCACTTTCAACAAGACACCTCCCCTTCTCAGTAGATTTTTTTTTTTTAAAAATTGGGGTATAGTTGCTTTGCAGTGTTGTGTTAGTTCTGCTGTACAGCAAGATGAACAAGCTATGCGTGTACATGTATACTCTCCCCTTTGGACACCCCTGCTCCCTTTTGGACACTCCCCCCACCACCCCACCCGTGTAGGTCCTCACAGAGCACTCAGCTGAGCTCCCTGTGCTCTGCAGCAGGTTCCCCCAGCTACCAACACAGGGCAGTGTATATGTGTGAATCCTAATGCCCCAATTCACCCCACACTCCCTCCCCCCGACCCTGTCCACACATCTGTTCTCCATGTCTGCATCTCTATTCCCCCTACAAATCTGTACCTTTTTTCTAGATTCCATATATATGTGTTAACATAGGCTATTTGGTTTTCTCTTTCTGACTTTCTTCTCTCTCTATGACAGACACAGGTCCATTC